TCTGGGGCTCGCAAGCCTCCGCGGGGCCCCAGGGTATGCGTGCTGGTGTATTTACTGGTGTGGGTGTCACGCTGGATGCTTGCCCATCCGCCGCTGCTCCGTCCGTGCTGTGGCACTAGCCCGGGAGGGATCTCGGCACCGGCGTAACCTTTGCAGCCTGCAGGAAAGGTGACTTCCATTTAGTTCTAAATTATGACATTATTTTATTAGATCTTTAAACTTTATTTAAATTCTTTATTTAAAAAGGGGGAGGAAAGTATCATATTTTAATTAGTAGCGGTGTCAAAGGAGACCTAGATTAATTATTTGAAATCACTCCATCCAGATGGTTTTAATTTTCACAGCAGGGAACCGGCATCTTTTTAAGGTGATATTTTTCAAATTAAAATCAGCTTGGATATTACTCATACTGGCCGCAAAGTGAGGGGGTGGGGAACACGAGCCGGCATGCCCCGTGTTTGTCCGTCTGAGCGTGGGCTGCCAGTGGGGACCTGTGTCGGAGAGGTGCGGGTTGCCGACTGTCTGTCGGGACCGCAGCTCAAGGCTCTTGCGTTGGAGTGTTTTATCAAGTTTAGCTCCTACTTGGGCTGGCCAAAACCGGTATCTGATATTTAGTGTTGTTCTTAGCAGCTTTAGTCGCAGCACTGAGACTGGAATGGATGGGGAATGCCTTGTGGCTTAGATGGGAACTTGTCCTGTCCTGTTCTTGCCTGTGTGCAAGTTGTGGAGCCCTCGCCTGACCCCTTCGAAGGGTGGCCGTGGGTCCATTTGCATGCCTGGGTGGATTTGACACTGTAGATCTGCGGGTGACTCCTTGATGCTCTGGGTGTTGGCGGTGGATCTTGGGCCAATCTTTGGGACCTCTTGTGCTGGCTCCAGGACCTTCCCTTGGGTGCAGGCTGCTGCTCTCCCCCTCTGAGGTTGACCATTAGTCCTCTGCTCATGGGAGGGGAAGACCTTTCGCAGTCACCTCTTTAAAGGCAGTCATACTTTTGGCTGTTCCCTTGTCTATTAATGCCACGTTGCATCTGAGCAGCCTCCCTGAACTTCTTGGAGCAGCGGGCATTCACCAAGTTATAGACCATGTTGGTCAGCCTCCCTTTGAAGACCTGTCTTTGACCCTGTGCCATCTTCCCCCATCCTGGCTTGGCTGGGGGGATGTAAGGATGTCGTTGTGATATCCTTACTATGACAGGATATTTCTGGTTCATGTGGCCCCTCCTCGCTGAAGTGGTCACTGGTTCGATGCCACCTTGGCAGGTGTGGAGAGTAAGCCTGCAGCGCCCAGTTGTTGCTTGCAAGCTGGGTCAGAATGTTGCAAGTAATATTCTGCTAGAATACAATCCCACTTGCTGTCAGAAAGAAGGTATTCTTTAAATATCCCCTGTGATCACGGTTTTAACAAATATATCTAAATAAATGTAAGCAGCTAGTAACTGGAAAACCCTGGACTTGCATATATGACTGAGCTGCAGAGGGAAAACTCCATTTAGGGCCCTTGTGAGTTAAAGGTTTGTGATATTTGCACTGCTGCAGAAGCCAAAAGCTGACTTTACAAGTGGGAAAAATATTAATGTGTTTAAATGAAACAAACTCCTATTTCTATCCCCATGGTAAATCCTTACAGTGAACATATTTGCTCTTAGAGGGTTTTAAAGTTTGAAATATGAATGCCAAAAAGAATGTGACTTTTTGCAGCACAGATCAAACATTCTCCAGAGTTTGGCAAAAGCCGTGTTTCTACGGTAAGGCTTGGGTCTTACAAGCGTGAGTATTTCCAGAGCAGGACCGTGGATTTGCACTTGCTGACACTCACACATTCTTGCATTGTGTTTCGACCATGTCTCCTTTCTCCCCCTCCGTATCAGAGATGGATCTGAACCAAAATGTCCAGTCTGCCTGTTCCTGCCTCTCCAGGGAAATTCCTGGAATCTGAACCTCGAGCATGACTGGAATTTGTGTTTAGATCGGAGATGGAATAAAATGCTGAATTTGGATGTGTCTAAGTTTTTGAGATGATGATGGCACGCTACACATCTGGGTGGCAGCTTGGCCACTTCTGCAGATACCATTGTGTCGGGGTAGGTGGTTTTTGAAGATGCAGCAGAAATCTGTCCTCTACCGTAGCTCCTGGCAATGCTGCAAACCAGCTCTGGCCTCAATAAACGTGCGAGGCACTATGAGATCGACCGTATTTCTCCCAGCTAGAGCAGGAGTCATGGACCTGGACTGCCAGCAAGCAATTAGTGACCTCCTGGGAGCATAGCTAGACACACAGAGGGTGTCTGCAGGGCGGGTGTTCATTAGACAGAACAAGCAGCTCTGAATTTCTCCCCTGCGAGCTGTTGCAGTGATCTTCAGGAGATCACTGCGATATTTTGCACCATGAGCGTGTGGCTGGACCGCTTCTCTGCAGTGTTTGAGGGCTGCTGGTTGTGGGGAAAGGATCTTTTCATGCTAAACTTTTGTCTTCATGAGAAGAAAATCCATGTTCTTAGCTTCCAAGACCCCTCCTGCAGCATGAAGGAGAGCATTGAGCCTTATATTGCTGATGGGGTGGTGGGGTTGGTGTGGACAGATGGAGCAGACACGTGTGTATGCATACTCCGTGCTAAACTGGCGTTACATCTGGAGCATCCCTGCATAGGATTCAGTGGAGATGTGGCAGATCTGCACCTGTGGCCAGGGCTGGAGCTCAGCCCCTGGGTGGTTCCTCGGGTTGTTCCCTTGCAGAGCATCCCAGCGTGGGGTGGTTCAGGTAGAGGTAACGGGACAACGTGCTGATGAGCATTGCATGCTCTGACTTAATGGGACCGCATTGGTAAAAGCTTTTTATTTCTTCTTCCTTTACAAGCCCAGCTTCTAGTGGAAACAGACACTTTTGGCAGTCAAGTCCGGATCAAAGGGAAGGAGACAGACTTCTACCTTTGCATGAACAGGAAAGGCAAGCTAGTGGGGAAGGTAAGTGTTTCCTATTAATTCGTTCGTAACATGAGTGTTACCTTTAGCAGCTTCCTCAAGGCTGTAATGATGTGTTCGAGCTTCGCCTGTCAGCCTCAAATGAAAAGCAGGACGGAGGGATGTGGGGTTTGCAAGGCAGCCCCTGCCCCTCCCGAGCCCTCCCCTGCATCCGTAAAACCGAGCTCTGCAGCCAGCCCTGGGAATTTCTTATGACCCTTCGGATGCGGATGGATTTGTTCTTTACAGTTGCGTTAAATTGACGTGAGATGTCATCTCGGCGTCCCAGTGTCGTGAGATGTCATCTTGGCATCCCAGTGTCGTGGCCACCTCCACGATAACTTTGCTACTTGATCTTTCTTTGGAGGGAAATTCAAAATAAAAGGGGAAGCGGAGCACTCTGCTGGGAGGTAGGCAACGTAAGACTGCGTTCAGTGGTGAGCCAGGGGATGGTGTGGCAGAGCTCGTACTGGAATCCGAACATCGCGCTGGGGCTGGGCCTCACGGTTCTAGCGTTACAGGAATATTTTATTACTTTGGATCCACGCACAATGGAAGCATGTAACAAATTATAGCGCGTTTGCCCGTCTAGCTTAACTTCTTCGCTGAAGTCATATTTTTTATGCATTAACTTGTTTTTGTAACTTAGGCAGTTCTTCTGTATTGTTGGCGAACCTAGAAGCTTGCTAACCGGGCAGGATTTTGCTCAAAGCTAAAATATCACCAAAAAATAAATGTAAAATAAAATACCTCAGCCCTCAAAGGCCCCCTCCTCCACTGCCCGTGCTTCGCACCACCAGGAATTAAAATCTGGCATCTTTGTGGCTGTGAAAAAGGGAAGCGGAGTGTTGTTTTGAGTCAACACAGCGAAAGCCACGCTCCCAAACAGAAACCAGAAACCAAATTGCTCCGATGAAAGATTATTTACTTTTGTGGTCCCGAGAGCGACACTTGCGGGACAAGTGCTTTCCCAGGAGGATCCCTCCTGCCACTTTTGTTTTCCTCGCGAGCGGCGCGGATGCTTCTGTCGAGACGAAGGCCGGACCTTTCGCAGGCGGCCGCTGCCCGTGGCAGCCTGCCTGACCCGCTGCGGAGCTGCTGTGGCGAAGCAGGCAGCATCCAGGATGCTCCTCAAAATTGGTGGGGACTTGGAAATTGGTGCTCCAGGAGGACTGGGCCAAAGCAGCCGGTTCTCTTTGCTTCCCGCACTTCTGCGGTGCAATTACTACCCTGAAGGAGACAGTGGGGTTTGATCTTGGAGAAGGAAATTTGGTTTTTAACGGGTTTTGCACCTCTCGGGATACACATGGATGCTTTTGAAGATTGCACTGAACACAAACCTGGCCTTTGATTTTTTTTTTTGGTGCCTTAATTTTCCCTCCTTTAAATGTGATAATAGCATTTTCCCCTGAAATGTTATAAGGATAATTTTATTAATGTTGATGAAGTGCTGATACCAGAGTAATGGAGACCTCACAAGCATTCAAATTAGATGGGGTAAAATGAGCACGAAATCTTACCTTTTTCTTTAATAAACCCTACCCGAGGGTGGATCAGCAGCGTTGCACAGTGCAACCTACATCCTTTCCTGGTCTGCGCTGAGTGTCCAGGAGCATCCTGGCCAAGTCAGAGGCTGTTTTTCAAAACGTATAACTTATTTTGGCAAGATTCATCCTTTGATTTGGCCCGTTGGGTACCAAGGCAGGACAGTTCTTGAGCTTGTCACCTTTCATGTAGCCTAAAGCTTTTGTTTTGTTTTGTTTTGTTTTTTTCTTGACGTGCTTTTCATAATGTTAAGTTGGCAAATGGCTTGTTATAAAAAAATAAAGAAATCTATTCTTGTAAATACGAGCCATCTCACCCCAGCCTGCTGACAAGTTCACAAACCAGCCGACCTGAGCAGGAGGGGGTACAGAGCATGGCGTTTGGAAGGAAAATGTTCCAGACGCGTTGCCCATATTAACAGCTTCTCATGAGCAAAAAAAGAAAATAATAGCATGTCTTCTTGATACCAAAGAGTGTGGTTTTAATTAGTATCATAGTTTCAGCTCTTTTTGTGGCAAGAGTTTGAGGGAATGCTTTTTAGCTTGAATGCTCTAAACAGCTAGTAAACCCCAAGGAAAACATCAGATAAAAGTTACGCCTGGGCTTATACAAATATTTAAGTTCAGTCTGGGGGTGGAGGGGAATGAAACCCATAAACTGATTGTTTCACGGTCGCCCCGGTATGTTCATTTGGCAAGAGAGGAGCCATGGGACCAACCCGGGTCTTTCTCTGTTCATTTCCTATTGCCTTACGCTGCATAATCCCTCCCAATACCAGCATATGCCATCTGGCTTTGTTCTCCTCCTCAGTCAGCAGTTTTGGATCCCCCCCGGTTGAAAACCTGCTTTGAGTTTAGACCTTTTTGTTTCTCATAATCACCTACAAAGGGTATTACAGACCGGAGCAGGTTGTCGTTGTTCTCAGCTGGAACTGGTGATGGACGCAAGAGCTCCAGAGATGGGGCTTGCTCCCCACCTTGGAACCGGTTGTGTTGCAGGCAAACAGACTAACCCATGGGGCTGAGAAGAGCAGCCTTTGCGTCTTTTTATTTATTTATCAGAAATTGCACCTATGCCAGCATTTCTGGGCAGAGGTCGTCTGATGGTACTTTCTCAGGAGCCTCAAACCTCGTGTTTTCTCCCTGGCTTGGTTGTTACCGCATGTATGTTCACGGCCAACGTTGGCCAAAGGGTTCAAAGTTGTTTTGGGCAGGCTTCTAACTTTATTTGTTGTTACAGCATGCAACTGTTCAGGTCACTGATGCTCCACATGCTGCTTATGAAAACTGGAGACAGGGCAGGTGCTGTACAGGTAGCGACTTTCCTGCTAAAGGCAACCAGCACTGAGGAAAACCAAATTGGATTGGGTTTCTTCATTGATTCTTGATGTTACGTTGAAGAATGCCCAAGAAACATTTCATTTTATTTTTTTTCCTTCTGAACCTATTTTTTTTTGCCTGTGGTTTTTTGATGCCTCTCTGTATACACATGTAGAAATTGTAGGTTCCAAGTTTTCTGATTTTGCTGAAGTTTTCCATGGACCACTGAACTTTATCATAGAATCATCTAATAGTTTGGGTTGGAAGGGACCTTTAAAGGTCATCTAGTCCACCCCCCCTGCCATGGGCAGGGACACCTCCCACCAGACCAGGTTGCTCACAGCCCCATCCAACCTGGCCTTGAACACTCCCAGGGATGGGGCAGCCACAGCTTCTCTGGGCAACCCCTACCAATCTGCCTCACCACCCTCACCGTGAAGAATTTTTTCCTAATATCTAGTCTGAATCTACACTCTTTTAGTTTAAAACCATTACCCCTCGTCCTATCGCAAGGGGCCCTGCTAAAAGGTTTGTCTCCATCTTTCTTACAGGCCCCTCCTTAAGTACTGAAAGGCTGCAATAAGGTTTCCCCAGAGCCTTCTCTTCTCCAGGCTTTATGGTGGAGTTATTACAAGGAGAAAGATTAAAATACGAAAACTCACAACAGGAATGCTAGGTGCTTTTCTTAAAACCTTTTTGTCCTTTAAAAATTATTATTCCTGTTTATTTATCTCAGGTTTCTTACAAACACGGGGGAGAAGGGGACTCTGAAAGGTTCAGCTCTCCTTCCAAGGAGAGGCATGGTGTGACTTGTCCACTTGTGACAAGGTGCAACGTGACTGGTCATCTAGAACACAAGAACTCTGAACATTTGCAATAATTCAGTGTTAGGGAGAAGAGGAGCTAATGGTCTCTTTGGAGGAGCTCTGAGTTTCTAACTGTGGTTCTCCTGGGGAGTCCTCCTGTGGTTTTTTTCTCTCTGCCTCAGCTTTTCTTATCTCGTGCATTGAGATAACGATGTCAATAAAGTGGGGACTTCATGTTTGTAGAAGGCTGTCAAAGGTAAGTCTTTTAAGTCTCCGGAGCAAGGAATAGCAGCCTGGGGTGTGAGCAGGTGGCCGTTAATTAGCTTGGCCACCTCTAACTGCTCTTGCTGAGCCTGTCCTTACAGCAAATCCATCCTCTCGAGAATTGCAGGACGCTGCAGAGATTTCCTTTCTCTGCCCTGTCCCAGTCCCCTCATCAGGAGAGCATTTGCAAGCGGTCAGTGATCTCTGTGAAGCTTAAACTGGATCTGTTGGCACCATTACAAGAGGACCAAAGCCCTGCCCCTTCCTTTAGGCACTGCTAGGGCTAGTGGCTGCCACGTGGCCGTCAGAGCATCTCCTCATCCGCAGGCACCGTTGCCAGGGAGTTTCTCATGGCTCTCTGAGCCACCCATGGGATCACGCAGTCTGGTTGACACTAGCGCTCAGGTTATAGCAGGTATCTGTAAAGAGAGTATTTTACACTCCCAACTGTAAAGGGAGAGGAGAAAATAGGCCTGTTCTTCTGGACCGACCAAGGGCAGAGGAGAATGGACCTTGGCTTCATGCAAAACTGCCAAATGGGAGGAGAGGCTGCTTATTGCAGACTGTGGCAAGGGAGACATCGGTTTTCAGAGTAAGCTATAGAAGCAGGGAAGGTAAGTAATGACTGGAAGGAATCCAGAAGATTTGAGAAGAATGAGGAAAGAGT